CTTAAGGCCATCTGCAGCCTTGTCACCCTGCCAGGTGGACTGGATCTGGCTCAGCAAGTCCCCCTTGTAGGAGGCACTGATGGATGGGGTGCTACAGGCTGGAAGGCCCCTGTCCTGCCCTCAAGCAGCTAAAACGGAAAGGGAGGCAGACGAAGGGGGGCCCACGGAGAGGGTGGCTGTGGGGAAGCTGGGGTTCCTATGGCCAGGATCCTCACTGAGCTTAAACCACCTGATGATGTCACTGGCCTGTTGCTAGGCTACCGCTTCCACACCTTAAGGCAATAAGCTATTACTGGGCTATGCAGAGAGCTCGGATGCTAGTGTTTGACCCACCGCCCGGAGAACAAGCCGGGTAATAAACCCTTTCACAGAACGTTTTGCTGTCAATTTCTTTGGTCACATTGAATCCATAGCGAACTTGCCCGGGGCTGGAACCCATTGGCAAGACAGTGACCCACAAAGTCAGATGAAAAATCATGCAGTTTTCCTCTTTCAACACATCAACTTGATTTAAGGTACAAAGCCCCAGTCCCTTTCTCCCCGGGGGTTCAGAAGTGTTTTCAGAGAGAGAGGGCAGGGCTTGTGAGACATAGGCCTGGTCCGGTCCTTACCTGCCTGGATGAAGTCAGCTGGTGCCAGGCGTCCTGCCACGTCATTCTTTGTTCTTCCCCAAGAGCCTCCTTTTGAGTTTGTATTAGTTTGGGTTTCCCCCAAAATCAGGTCACCAGGTAGTTTAACTTGGACATGATCCCAAAACCAGCAGGGGAGGAGGGGAGTAAGAAAGGGAGGGAAGGAAGCCGACATGAGCAGGTTAGCACATTCCCTGGGAGGCAACTGGAGCTCAGCATCAGCCGCAAACAGTGAGGAGCAGGGGACCCGGGGTACCGACCCAGCAGTTCCAGCAGGCGTGAGGTGTGGGCCACGCTCCGCATCAGTTTCCCAGAACTTTGGCCTGCATGCGTGGGCAGAGCACCCGGACAAATCCTGCTGCCGAAGAGATGCGGGTGCTGGCAGCTGATGGTGAGGCTGGCAGGCAAGGAGACGGCGCAGCCCCATGGCCACAGGGGCTGGGGGACAGTGACTGCTTCTGCTGCAAGTCCCGACTATGTGTCCCTGAGTCTCCTCCTGTGCCGTGGAGACTGGAAACTCTGCAAGGCTGTTTGAGGCCTTTGCTGCCAGGACACATCCCGGAGCTGGGTTGCCTCTGGACTGTTCACCAATCTCAGCCCTATACGCACATGGCTCAGACTCCACAAAGCTGCATAGGGATCAGTGGTTTCCCAGCCTGCCATCTCCAGGGGTAGGTGTACAGGGGCAGGGGCACAGCCCCTCCTCAAGGGCCCACCTGCCTCAAGGGCCCACCTGCATCTATGTTCCCATCTTCTTCAACTCCCCGCCACCTGGCCTGAGGACCTACCGGCGCACCTCTGGAATGAGAAGACAGACTCTTGCACAAGCACATGGCAACCTGAAGCTACTGTTTTTGCCAGGGACTTTCCCATCCCACAGGGTGCTTATGGGACACTGCTGTGTCCACATGACCACATTCCAGGGCTGGATCTGCCAAAAGTCACAGGAAAGTCATTAAAGCCAGGAAAGACTCATCAAGCTCTATGATGCAAAGGTCACATCAGAGGTTGCCTTATTCCCACCTCACCTCCACCATCCCCCAGCCCCCTAAAGCCACCCTGGATATATAGCCCCCTCCTCTGCTTATGACCTGAAGGAGCCTACAACTTCCTTCATTTCCTCATTATGCTTAACAAGCCATCCTGATAGGAAGTTCTCCACTTCCGACCTACACGCTCTGTAGATGGGCTGAAGCACAAAGGGCATTTCTATTGGGACTGCATTTCAGCTTTTCAAAGTTGTCACAAATAGCAGCCCCTCACTGGCTGTGCCAACTTGTTTATTAGCTTCTTGCTGCTACTGCACAAATTGTCCCATACTCAGTGGTTTAAAACACCCAAACCTATTGTCTCGCAGTTGCACAGGCCACAGTTCCGGGTGGATTTCCCGGGCTCCTCTGCTCAGGGCCTCCCAGGGGCAAACTCAAGAGGTCACCTGGGCTCTTATCTGGGGACTGTGGGAAGACTCTGCTTCCAAGCTCCTTCCCGTTGTCAGCAGAATTCTGTTCCGGAGACCCTGTCTCCTGGCAGCTGGGAGCCACTCCCAGGTCCTTAAGGCCATCTGCAGCCTTGTCACCCTGCCAGGTGGACTGGATCTGGCTCAGCAAGTCCCCCTTGTAGGAGGCACTGATGGATGGGGTGCTACAGGCTGGAAGGCCCCTGTCCTGCCCTCAAGCAGCTAAAACGGAAAGGGAGGCAGACGAAGGGGGGCCCACGGAGAGGGTGGCTGTGGGGAAGCTGGGGTTCCTATGGCCAGGATCCTCACTGAGCTTAAACCACCTGATGATGTCACTGGCCTGTTGCTAGGCTACCGCTTCCACACCTTAAGGCAATAAGCTATTACTGGGCTATGCAGAGAGCTCGGCCCAGTGCTCTGGGCAGAGGCAGAGACGCTAGTGTTTGACCCACCGAAACACACCGCCCGGAGAACAAGCCGGGTAATAAACCCTTTCACAGAACGTTTTGCTGTCAATTTCTTTGGTCACATTGAATCCATAGCGAACTTGCCCGGGGCTGGAACCCATTGGCAAGACAGTGACCCACAAAGTCAGATGAAAAATCATGCAGTTTTCCTCTTTCAACACATCAACTTGATTTAAGGTACAAAGCTCCAGTCCCTTTCTCCCCGGGGGTTCAGAAGTGTTTTCGTGAGAGAGGGCAGGGCTTGTGAGACATAGGCCTGGTCCGGTCCTTACCTGCCTGGATGAAGTCAGCTGGTGCCAGGCGTCCTGCCACGTCATTCTTTGTTCTTCCCCAAGAGCCTCCTTTTGAGTTTGTATTAGTTTGGGTTTCCCCCAAAATCAGGTCACCAGGTAGTTTAACTTGGACATGATCCCAAAACCAGCAGGGGAGGAGGGGAGTAAGAAAGGGAGGGAAGGAAGCCGACATGAGCAGGTTAGCACATTCCCTGGGAGGCAACTGGAGCTCAGCATCAGCCGCAAACAGTGAGGAGCAGGGGACCCGGGGTACCGACCCAGCAGTTCCAGCAGGCGTGAGGTGTGGGCCACGCTCCGCATCAGTTTCCCAGAACTTTGGCCTGCATGCGTGGGCAGAGCACCCGGACAAATCCTGCTGCCGAAGAGATGCGGGTGCTGGCAGCTGATGGTGAGGCTGGCAGGCAAGGAGACGGCGCAGCCCCATGGCCACAGGGGCTGGGGGACAGTGACTGCTTCTGCTGCAAGTCCCGACTATGTGTCCCTGAGTCTCCCCCTGTGCCGTGGAGACTGGAAACTCTGCAAGGCTGTTTGAGGCCTTTGCTGCCAGGACACATCCCGGAGCTGGGTTGCCTCTGGACTGTTCACCAATCTCAGCCCTATACGCACATGGCTCAGACTCCACAAAGCTGCATAGGGATCAGTGGTTTCCCAGCCTGCCATCTCCAGGGGTAGGTGTACAGGGGCAGGGGCACAGCCCCTCCTCAAGGGCCCACCTGCCCCAAGGGCCCACCTGCATCTATGTTCCCATCTTCTTCAACTCCCCGCCACCTGGCCTGAGGACCTACCGGCGCACCTCTGGAATGAGAAGACAGACTCTTGCACAAGCACATGGCAACCTGAAGCTACTGTTTTTGCCAGGGACTTTCCCATCCCACAGGGCAGAGGAAGTCACTTTGCAGCTCACTGTCCTTGAAATATACCTTTCCTTTCTCTTGCAACAGTGAGCCTTGGAAGAGTGCATCGAGTGAATGGGAAATACAGGAAAACCTTTGAGTGATTATCTATCACACAGATACGCGCCCAAAGTCGCCAGAATCCAAGGGGACTGTAATATGTGCACTGGTGATGTCCTTCCACAGGAGAGATTCCCCTGGGGGCCAGCAAAGAAGCCTGCATGCCAGAGGCAGGAGTGTGTGAGCTGAGCCTTGAGGGGTAAGTGGAGTCTCAGCCAGTGCAGGCGGAGGGGGCATCGAGCCTGGGCCTCTGGGTCGGCCAGGTAGGCCTCACCTCCCAGGGCCTGTGCCGGGGGCACGCAGGCGGTGGGGAGCGCGAGCGCCTTACCCGGGAATGTCAGGCCCAGGCGGAATGTCCCAGAAGGACAGTAGGGCAGAAGCCTCGACTATTTTGGGGGAAAGGCAGGACAAGAGAAGATGTGGCGGGCCGGTGGAGTGGCGGGAGAGATGGCAGTTGAAATGGCCTGTGTGCCCAGACTCTAGCTTCAGGGACCTGTGTGTGGGAAGAGAAAGAAGGCAGAGGAGCGGGCGAGAGACGAGAGAGGGGCAGGCAGAGAGGGGAGACGAGAGCTGAGCGAGGAGACAGGCGCAGGAAGAGAAAGACCATGGATGAGAGGCCCACAGCCAGAGGCGCCTGGAGCCAGGCCGAGCGGGGCTCCTCCAGCGGGCAGGCCTTTCAGTGGGAGGGGAGGTGGGCCCGCCCCACGCTCGGAGGCCCCACGTGTGGGCCTGAGGCAGGTGGCCGACTCTCCTGCAGGGCCTGAATCTCTAAATGAATTCAGTGGACGTGGGGCTGACAGCTCCAGGATGCCCTCAAGCAGAGACAAAGTCGGAGGACATGAGAGGAGGTGATAAGTGTAGGACAGGAAAGCTGAAGCCCCCCGCCAGCACCTTGACTTCCACTACCCAGCTTCAGAGAAAATAAGAAGGTCTGAGTTCTCTGGCTGTTCACTCAGAAACTAGAGCTGAGAAACTTCCCAACATCCGGTTTTTGCAGCGCAGAGACCCCACCTCTCGGGCTGGGATGCTGTTTAGTAATGTTATGGCTCCATCTACAGCCTGAGGAAGCGCCGTCGCTGCCGGATTTCTCTGAGCAACGGCGACGAGCCTTGGAGCTTCCCAGGCTCGTTGCAATTAGTGCTACTAAAGCCCTTTTCCCTCCCTATTTGCACCGTTTACTCAACGCAAATTTGGGACTATGCTGGAAGTTAGTTATTTCAGACTGTGTCTACAACAGCAGCTGTTCAGAATATACCAGGATTCTTTTAGCCAAAGTTGGTTTGCAGTTTCTATTTTAAACCAGTTTGTTATGAATTGAGTAAAATGTGTTTTTTTTCAATTTTTGTTTCTATTTTAACAACAGAACACATGAAAGCCTTTAAAATAGCAAGATCACATTTTCTTTCATCTATTCAATAAACATTTAATTAGCACGTAATTAGCACATCCGTCAGGTTCTGTGATAAGGATGATGAGAAGTCAGGCCTGAATACATCCCATAAATGACTCATCAGCGAGAACCTTGTTACTTCCTCTTGTAGCCGGAAACAGTTCCACGTAGGTCAAGAAAGAGAAGAGGAGAAAGACAAAGGTCACTAGTAGGTAGAGACCCTGGGACAACTTTTAAACACCGTGAACTGTGTTTAACTCATGACAAAATGGAAGCTGGTAGTCAGTTCCATAAGATGTAAGATTTTTGTCCTGTTCTATTTTCCCCTCCTCAGAAGTATAATTAGCTTTTTCTAATGATCTATTTGCTAAAATAACTATTTTTCTAAAATAACTGCTTGCTTTGGGCAGGAAACTTGGCAAACAAGCCAAAAAGGCATAAAAAAATATAAGGCGTTCATAATCCCATCAACCAAAGATGGCCACTGTTAGCTGTATAACGTGGCCCTGCACTCATCTGGTCCTTATAAAAATGGTACTATATTTTAACCAACCCACAGGAGATGAACATTTCCCCGCATCGCTGCATATTTACATGATTCTGAATGGCTCCAGAGTATTCTTTCATATGAATGAATCGTATTTATTTACCCCATACAAGATTCCTGATGTTTTTACAATGATAAACTTTGTACAGATGATATTCCTTAAGATGAACCCCTAGCCATGGAACTTCAGGAGGGCATGAACTTTCCAGGCCTCTGAGACAATACATCAAGTTGCTGTCCTGGATCGACCTCCTAGAAGGTTCACATTACATCTGAACCAAAGTCTAACTTCAGAAGCCCGAAGTGTTCACCATCCCTGAGGGAGCTCGATGTGACAGTGAGTGGCATCCCTGTGTTAAGGGGAGCTTTGCCGGGCATCACAGGGAATGCTGGAGGCAGCAAGAACAGTTTGGAACAGTTTTTGATAAATTCCTTACCTTGTAGGTGATGTAGACTGGGATGCCTGCAAAACAGCAAGACAGGTTTTGGACCTGCTAAGTATGTAGTCAACAGTGCATCACCAAAGGCTCGACAGATTAAGGCAGGAAGATAGGATAATTTTGTTCATCCTCACCACTCAACCGCCCTCCCCCACTTGCCGTCATGGATGTCACCCCGGTTTGTTTTCCTTCTCCTACATCCTGTCCTCAGCTTGTCCCCATGGATGTCCGCCTTGTCCAGCATGTCCTGTAAGGTTGAGCGGGGTCCCTCTGGAGGCCTCACAACACTGTAAGAGGCAACTACATATATCAGGTCTTTGTAAAAAAAACTCCTGGCACCTCTTGAAGTTGAGGTGTGATTTAAGGAGTAGATACACTGGCTTAGGGAAAACTTGCAGGTCATTTTCTTTAGAACTGAAGCGTTTCCTGTATTGTACCTCCATGTGTTGGTTCATATAGGGTTGAAACAACTTGAGTGATAGCGAAAAGCCAATCTTCTATGAGGATTGCCCAGTACAAGTCATTTTGGGGTTAATTTTGGAAAGAGAAGGGGCAGAAATAACCAGCTTCAGGTGAAAGGAGAAATTAAATTTTGCTTCTTTGATCTCCAAGGCTGCCTAATTGACTATCTCTCATAAGCCACCAAAAAGGAGAAGAGAAAGTGGTAGCAGAGAACTCCAGAACTTTAGAACCAAACATGACCCGAGTGGAAGGCAAGGAAGCGACAAGGGTGACCCCAGGTCACGGGCAAGGTGGGAGGTGGTGTGGACGCCTGCTGGTCAGGCGCCTGGCCAAGTCATCATTCTATGTTTACCCAAAGAGGGTGCTTTTACTAAGGAACAAAATGTGACTGCCTTAGTTGCAGGGGGGCATGAGGACACCCAGAAGGGGAGGTGGAGGAGGTGAGCCGGAAGCAGGTGAGACTGGACCTTGCTTTTTTTTTTTTGGTACCATTAATCTACAATTACATGAGCAACATTATGGTTACTAGACTCCCCCCATCACCAAGTCCCCCCCCACATACCCCATTACAGTCACTGTCCATCAGTGTAGTAAGATGCTATAGAGCCACTACTTCTCTTCTCTGTGCTATACTGCCTTCCCCGTGCCCCCCTACATTATGTCTGCTAATAGTAATGCCCCTTTTCCCCCTTGTCCCTCCATTCCCAACCACCCTCACCAGTCCCTTTCCCTTTGGTAACTGTTAGTCCCTTCTTGGGTTCTGTGATTCTGCTGCTAATTTGTTCTTTCAGTTTTTTTCTTTGTTCTTATACTCCACAGATGAGTGAAATCATTGGATACTTGTCTTTTTCCACCTGTCTTATTTCACTGAGCTGGACTTTTTTTGTCTGATTCATTCTGCAGGTGAACACCTCTCAAGAGCAGGAGATGAAGGTTTGACTTCAGACCTATAATTCCTGCCCTGGCACTCACTGCGCAGAGCAGGCCATGTGGGTGTAACCCACGGGCTTCTCTGTTTTTCTTGAATGTTCTCATTACTTTGACATCCTTACAGTTTCCCTTTAAGGCACATGTGTCATGCGGACAGTGGGGCTGAGGCTCACGGAACTGCACTGAGGGCCAGCCCCTCCGTGTGTCCCCGGGTGCTGTGGGTGTGCAGCAGGGCAGGGGCGAGCGTGGTGTCTGGAAGGCAGAGCTGCTCACCCAGGTGGCACCCCCCCTCCACTGTCACATTGGGGGCACCCCCCTGATAGTACTTTTTTCCAGTTTTCAGTTCATCTCCATTTCTAACCCCAGTGGTTAAGCCATGGGGAAGGCTTGAGGCAGAGGAATCTCCTTATTACAGAAGAAAAACCCACAGCAGAGATGATCAATAGCCCACATGTGAGGAGCTCAGTAGGACCCTTGAGCATGCCAGACAAAACCACAAAGATCCTAATTACCCTGGCAGAAATAACTTACATGATCACTTACCTTCTGCCTGTCCATCTCTAAGCCAGATGACCTTTTATTTATGTGGCAATGAAATAAAATATTTTGAGGTGGGCATTTGCTGAGCAACTGCCCGTGCTGTTCTGGTCATGATCTCCCTTGCCTCTCATACTTTGCCACCACCTGCTTCCCGGAGAAGTAATGACAAGAGATGTTTGCAGTTTACCAACTTTGTCTGATGTTACGCATCACCTGAGAGGCTTGTGAAACTAACATCTCCCGAGCCAAAGCCTGGACTTAGCTGCGTCAGCAGTCCCAGGACAGGCTTGGGCATCTGTAGTTTTAAAAAGTTCATAGCCAATTCTTGAGATCGGATGATCGGGCAAATCTGGGAAATGCTAAGGTCATCACCGTGAAATCCTTTAATGTTTCAAAAGACACCAAGCTCTGAACACTCACAGGTGCATTCATTATTGTTATTACGGCAGACTAAATTTGCCAGCTTTAGCAAATAAAAAGATAGGATATCCAGTTAAATTTGAATTTCAGATAAACAAAGAAGGGAATTTTTTTTAGTATATCCCAGGCACCATTTGGGATATACTTACATTAAAAATGTATTTTCATTCAGAGACTGTATTAGATGCTATGCACCCCATTTATTGTGTAATATGGAAACACTCAAGAAAAGTCTAATTTTTAGAGAAAGAAAGCATGTCAGTGATAGGAAAGTGTCCCCTTTACTTTCTCCCTGAGCCTCTCGGCTCATCAGTCTCTGGCTGGTCCCAGCTCGCCTGCTTGCCAGGCAGAAGAAGCCCCGGTATCTGGCTCTTCAGCATTTTGACAAAAAGCACTACTGTTACTAAAAAGACAAATCACTTTTAAAGATGAACTATGGAGGTTTTAAAGCACAATGTAGCGTCTTCTTGTTCATATCTAATGAGACAGTGAAGCAAGTACAGAACTTCCCCCACTTATGACAATGGGGTTACATCCCGATAAGCCCATCGTAAGTTGAAATAGAAGACAAAAATGCATTTAATACACCTAACCTATGGAACAGAATAGCTCAGCCCAGCCCACCTTAAACGCCCAGAACACGTACCTTCGCCTACAGTTGGGTACACACATCTACCACAAGACCTATTTAATAACCAAGGGTCGAATACTTCATGTGATTGAGTCCTACACTGAAAGTGACAAGCAGAATGATCGTGTGGGCACAGGATGGTTGTATGTATATGGGTCGTGTACTCTCGTGATCGCGTGGCTGGCTGGGAGCTGCGGCTCGCTGCCCTGTCCACTGCCGCAAGAGAGCATGGTACACATATTAGCCTGGAAAAAGATCCAAATTCAAAATCCAAAGTACGGTTTCCACTGAATGCACTTTGCTTTCACACCACTGTAAAGTTGAAAAATCCTAAGTAGAACTATAGTAAGTCGGGGACTGCCTGTGTTAAGTGTTTATGCCATTCACTTGCCAGTGTATTTGTTAATTTCAAAATAATTCAAGTATTCTAAAACTATACACGTTTTTTTCCTTTTGCAAGATTTCCCAGGCCTCTCAGCCCCATGATGTGGGTGCTGCTTCTGTTAGATGACACCTGACACCAGACCAAAGGTTCTTCCTGCTGCAGGTGGTATATGCACTCATTGTCAGTTGGAAAGGTTTACCCTACTGCCAATTTGGAAATCTCATTGTCGGTTATAAAGCAGACGTCCCCTGAGGTGAGAGGAGGAGGGGAAGTGCAGAGACAAATATGAAAATCGGAAGGACTGTATGGTCTAGGAATGAAATGTTTTCTAAATCAAATCAAGCTAAACAGTGGAAATTGAGGAGAAAGTCCTTAAGGTGACTTTTAAATGAAAATGAAATGTCTGTTAGTAAGTTACAGAGGTGCAATGATACCAAGTGGCAGTCTTGTATCTCATTAATTTCAAACATAGATTTTTATGTGAGGCTATTTGATTATAATTTGATTATCTGACCCTGTAATTAAAGTTTATTGCCAATTTGGAAGCTTACATGTAAAATGAACTGGTTTTCTTCAAAGCAATATACAATCCCTTGGACTCATTGACTTCTGGTTTTGCATTTAAATGGAAAAGTCAGTTATAACGTGACAAACAGGTTGGGGTTTTGATCATTAATCCTGCTAAAGCAATATTCATAAATTCAATTCTGAATCAGTTGGAATACTTTTCTTTTATTAGTTTCTGTGTTATTAAATGAGATTGTTTCTGACTAATATATTTCTGGACTCGAACTGTAGCTTGGAGCTGTTATTCAAATCAAATAACATGCCCCTTACTTGTGCCTCGCACTAATAAATGCCAACTTGTGATACATTTGCAAGAGACTGTCAGCAATATGAAAGGAGGGATAATGCCACGGAGGTCTTGAAGTGAGCCGATTTTTCTAAGGGCTGATATCCGTCATTTTTCTTATAAAAACAAGGCACAAAAACACGCCCGGTAGTCAAACCTTTTAATCTTAAAGCCAAAAGCACTCTCGGATTTGGATCATGTAAGTTGAATTCACCAACACTTAAAGAACCAGGACATTGGAATTCAAAAGTTCATAACTTTGGGGTCCTGAGTAAGAAAAGGAGGAAGGTGACCTCAGAGCAGAATCAAAGTTCCACTGGAAGGAAAGAGGGCCACTTCACTGGGAAATGGGTGGGTCGTTCTTTCCAATGCTAAGTGGGAAGGAGAGGCTACCTTACTTTTGAAATAAGGAAAACTTTTCAACAATCATTGTTGGGTTCCCAGCACAAAATGGGGTCTTCAAGAACCCCTTGGTGGCCTCATATGACAGATGAGGGAATTGAGAAGTTGCCCAGAGAGATGTCTGCTCGTCAGAGATACACAGCGAGTTGGGGGTGAATCCCAAGTGGAAACATTCATGATTTTTCCCAACTTTCCCCACCATCCAGCTGAGAGAAAAGACTCATAAATATTCGTGGGAACTTCCCAGGGGCTGGAGTCAGAGGCCTGGCCTGTCCTTCAATCGCCTGAGCTCCAGGAGCCCCGGCCCCTCAGGCATAGCCTGCACTTGCCCCTTTGCCCTGTTTCGAGAAGGAACTGAGACCTGGTAGGAACACCACAAGCATCAGGTGACTTATAATATCTCACCTGTGAGGTACAAACACTTTACTGAGATATTTAAAGTAAATTATGTGTCTTCCTTAAGTAATCATAACAACATTGAACTTCTCATTGTTTTTGGACAATTTCCTCCATATTCCTATACGTGGGCCTCAGAACTCACACTCCAGACTGAACTGTTGGCCATTCTTGCTCGTCCTCTTTTCTGAGTCCTCACACGTTCACTTCACTGCTTGGATTCGCAGGTTTTCCTCAGCCCTTGACGCACTTGGGGGGGTAGTGTTGCTAGGTGTCAACCTTCCCACACAATCACCCCGGCAGGAATGGTCTCTGGTGCCCCAGAAGGAAAGTGTTCAAGCCCATTGGAGAATTCCAGAGTCTCCAGGTTGCGAGAAACCTTTGCAATCTGCCCTCTATTCCCAGCTCCCTCTTCCCACCACAGGACCTTCAGCAGGACAGGTCCCGGGTGGGAACTGCTTCCTGGCGCTGGGCCAGCAGCTGTGGGTGGGCAGGAGGGCGGAGGAGGGCAAGGCGGCCCCAGGGTGCTGCCTGGCCTGCCGCAGCCCCTGCTGAGTGCTCACCTGGTGGGCTGCCCCACCCCACCGCCTCCTCCCACAGCCTCTCAAGGCCAACGATCTTGGCCCCTGGGCTGCCAGGAGGGTGGTGAGCTGTCTCCTCCATCCCCTGGCCCTGCAGGTTTGTCCCTGGAAGGTGACCCAGGTGAGGTCAGCTTCCAGAAGGAGACAACGTGAAGGCTGCAAGCAGTAGGTGTGACCCGGAAAGTGCGTGGGGAGACTGTGGGCTCCAGGCCGCAGTGAACCTGAGTCTAGTTCAGCACGAGTGCCATTGCCCAGGGGTTTGCCTCGCTTTGTGCTTAGAAAGCATCACCTGGCCTGCACAATGCCTGTTGGTGAGCAGGCGTAGCCCCTCAGTGATTGCCAAGGCGCAGGCCTCGCTGCTGCCTGCTTGGGTGCCAGGGGGCCTCAGACTCACGCTGACCACACTCCCAGCCAGCACTGGCAGGTATTGGCCTCCCAGGTCGCTCCACAGGCATCTCCTGGCCTTGCAGGTCAAGCCTTACTTCAGGGCAGGTTATCACAGATGTCCTGAGATGATGGGCCCATGCTGCAGCCTCTCATTTCCCTGAGAGAACTGGGGTGACTGAGATTCCAGGGATCCCAGTCGCAGCTTGTCACTCAGACCAGGGGGTTGTGGGGTGTGAGGGCTGTTACAAAATAGCAGCTCTCCATTGTATGCGTATACCACATTTTTTAAATCCATTGTGTGGATAACCAAAATTTGTTTATCCATTCATCCATTGATGGACAATTGGGTTGTTTCTACCTCTTGGCTATTGTGAATAGTGCTGCTATAAATGTGTGTACATACGTACTTTGGACTATTGCCAATTCTTTTGATATATACCTATGAGTGGAATTGTGGGGTCAGAGTGTAATTCTAGGTTTAACTTTCTGAAGTGCCACCATACCATTTTCCACAGTGCCTGCACCATTTTGCAGTCCCACCAGCCCTGTGTGTATAAGGGTTCCAGTTTCTCCACATCCTCTCCAACACTTGCTATTTTTTGTTTTTCGATAATAGCCATCCTAAAGAAGTAGCATCTCATTGTGGTTTTGATTTGTTTCACTAATGACTAGTGATGTGGAGCATGTAGCTTCTCATGTAGCTGGTTTATTTTTAAAGGTTACAAAAGGGAGAAGAGGGGGGTTATTACCCTTTGGGGGATAGGGAGTATCCAGGACGAAGGGAGCCAATCTGTTGACCAACCAAAGCATGTGTCTGCGCTGAGTCTACAACTTTTTCTTTTTTTTTGAGAGGGCATCTCTCATATTTATTGATCAAATGGTTGTTAACAACAATAAAATTCAGTATAGGGGGGTCAATGCTCAATGCACAATCATTAATCCATCTCAAGCCTAACTCTCGCCAGTCTCCAATCTTCTGAAGCATAACGAACAAGTTCTTACATGGTGAACAAATTCTTACATAGTGAATAAGTTCTTACATGG